CCTAAGTAGCTGGGATTGCAGGCACATGCCACCATGCCCGGGTAATTTTTTTGTATTTTTAGTATAGATGGGGTTTCACCATGTTGGCCCGTCTGGTCTCAAAACTCCTGACCTCAAGTGATCTGCCTGCCTTGGCCTCCCAAAGTGCTGGGATTACAGGAGTGAGACACCATGCCCGACCTGGTTTTAGATCTTATACATGGTATGTACTCTTCCATTTCATATAATGGGTTTGTGGCTATTTCCAAACTACTGGAGTTTCCCTCTGTATTTGTTCATTTCACTGGGTTTTGAGGAGGGGAGTTATGCAAACAAGCCCTCTGTCTCCTAGGAAAAAGCTCTACCCAAGTAGGGGCAGGGAACCAATCAGAATTTCAGTTTTGGGATGTATATAGAAAATCAGGCAGGCAACAGCTTGTATGTCCAGAGAAACTCTGGTATTCATTGGGGCCAAAATGATGGCAAATGGCTTCCATAGATGTCTAGGTAAAGAACTGGTAAGGACTGGGGATTAGGATGCCGTGACCAGCAGAAACAGACCTGAAGTGGGGAGGGTGCTGGGTGAAGCCGAGTTCCTCCCGTCTGAGGCCAGGTCACGTGCTGGGTCCTGTTCTGAGATTTCTGCAAGAGACCATCTTGCCTTTTTCCTTGGGCTACTGTAAATTGGTATCTCCATCTAGGGCACCTAAATAAAGTAGATGCTTTTTATTTAGCTCTGTGAGGTAGGATCCCAGATCATCCAAGTAGGAGGCAGAAGGGGATTGGGTAGGGTTTTTGAGAAAAAGAACATTATTGTGAAAAGTGACAGAAACAACTGACAAGGAAACAAGTGCTGAGTGGCAGCGAGGGTCCAGTTAAGGCTGGAAACCGTGAATTTACAGCAGCAGCATTCTGTCTAGCTGTGGGATTTTTCTCTAGGAATAGGGTTATAGGAACCAAGATGCTGACTATTTGGAAGGGTCCAGGATCGCCTGGTAAGACAGAACAGTGGGGCAAAGGATCTAAGCCTGTGGGCTGGGCAGAGTTTGCTGTGCTACGCTAGGGTTCTAGTCTGAAAAGGGAATGGAAGGGTGGAGTTCTGATAGGAAGAAAACTGTCAAGGGCTTGTTGGAAGTGAAGATGCTGGAGGAAGTGACCAGGAGGCCAGGAGGCCAGGAGCGTGTGGTAAAAGAGTAGGATGTTCAATTTAAGATGTAGAGGTGGAAAAGTTTTGGATTGTGTCAAGATTGTGAGTGTGGCCTGGAAAAGGGCGGCTAATTTGAGTTCTGTTGCCTTTGTACCGCTGACTCATTGAGGTGACAACAAACATTTCTTATCTTAATATTACTCTATAACAGCCAAAATAGAAAAAAAAAAAATCAAGTAGTAAGCAGAGTGTTTATTTTTTTAAAATTACTTAAAAAAGGTTGTTTACAGAGATGTGGATTTATATAACTTGGTGACAACATTTTTAAAATGTACAGGCTATTTCATATTATTGCACTTACTCTTTAATATATAAGGCATTTTACTTTACATAAATAAAGGATAATGTATAATATCATACAAAGTTATGGTGCCAATTAAGTCAACCATCAAACTCAATGAGATGTGTGTGGGAAGATGGAAGTGGAACCCAGCCTACTTTAATCTTCATGGTATATTCTTGCAACTACGATTTACTTGTTATAACACATATTTACCCTCATAGCTTATTGTGAATGACTGACCAGTTAAGAAAAAAAAGAAACAATGACAGTTTTAGTAGGACAATACCATTAGTGTTCACTTCAGGAAGTGTGGGAATTTATTAGGCTAATTAGAAATACTAGTCATGCCTTGAACACTGAAGACAAATAAACAGCTTTCTATCTTAGGGTCAAAGACAGTTTAGCTTTTGCTTCTTCCCTTAAATTTCAACTGTCGGCGAGGGAAACCTTCTGGCAAGATGTAGTAGCAGTGGCTGATGACTTTAGCATAGTGTATGTGGTAAGCCAGAGGTCTACCCTTGTATTCCAGATAGGAGGCTTAAGGACTTGCGGAAGGAGACCGTTGCATTTGCTCCACGTTGCACAAGAAATTCCTGTCTGTTCACGTAGGGCTGTGCGTTTCTTATTATTAGGCACAGCTGTAACAGTGGAGGCAAAAAGCAGTTTTCAGTGTTGACTTGAAACAGTCTTTCATTTAGGCAAGAAAGCAGAAACCACAAAACTGACCCCAGAGACTGAAAAAACAATCAAGCATGCACCTTGCACTGACTTCCTACAGTATCCTACCTGTAACTGTAGTGAAAAGTAGAAGTAAAATCAATAAGACCTTTCTAACTAACTCCTGTACTATATTTTCCTTTGTATTGCCGGTTGATGAGAAATCTGGACTCAAACAAGCCCGCTATTTCTCTTTCACGTGAAGGACCTCTCTAGGCCGACTTCGAAGATGTTTAAGTGGGATTGGTCATTCAGAAAAATGATGTACAAAGCTGATGGCTAAAGCCCCTGCATGAATCTGGGGGTCATAGCCATAGACCCAAGCTGTAGGTTATTTAAAGAAGTATCTCCAACATAAAATCTTAGTGTCATGCACACAGGTATGGCAAATGCAGTCTCCACTCATATTCTGAGGACTCAACGGGTTGGTTTGTGCCACTGAAGACCAGGCTTATAACTACATTTCTGCTCCTTTACCTTGACTCACCCTGTTTCTCCTCCTCTTTATGACCCGATGAGGATTTGGAATTTACCTAAGAAAATAAGGTACAGTATGAGGAGAGAACAGCCAACTGTGTGACGACGAACGGAATATCCAATGGGAGCAGCTACTGGGAAGCAGCTCATGCCGCCAGAGGAGTGGCCAGAGTGAGTTTCCCGAGCAGCGTGAGTCACGACAGTCCTCTGTAGGAAAACATTTTTGGCAAAAGGAGGAAGTTGCAAAGCAGGAAAACGAAAACAGCAAAAACTTAAGTCACTGCCGTTGTCATACTCGGTCAAGAAAAGAGATCCAGTACTTACTTAGAATGTTACATTTCTTAAACATGTTGGGAAAGAGGAAAAAAACCAACCAGTCTCCTAAAAGGATTCCATTAAGCTCCTCTATTTGGATTGGAAATATATTGTCTGTAAATCCAAGGACACTTAGAAAGATACTTGATTTCTAAAGATTAGTTTAAATTCATGGTTGGAGTGCATAAAATACAGAAATGGAAACCCAGTGACTGTGATATTTTTGCCTGCTCTTGGTACTGACCAGTGTTGAATTCAAGCACTTATCAAGACAGGTTCAAAAACTAGTTGTAAGGTGCTTTTAGATGTTGACCTTTCTGCTCCCTCTAAGCAGTGAAGCTCATGGCTATTTAATACAGTTTATCAGAAGTGCTATTCTGTAAAAAGCCTTATGGCTTACACTTTTGAGATAGAAAATGATCAATACTTCATGGTGATCAACAACCTATTGAGTTCAACTCTGCATACGTACATTATACATTACACTCACTAAAAAATACTCTATTTTGCTTTTTCATTTTTGGACAATTCCTGAGCTCGGCCTAACAGGTCATAATTCATTTTTTTAAGTCTCATTCTCTTTTCAGGGTAACATATACAGACCTACAGCTCCTCCTTCCACTGAATGTACCTAAAAGCATTCTGTCATTTACTTACAAAATCATATAAAATGATAGTCCTCTCAGGTGTGACATTTGTGTCCCCCTCAGACTTTTAGTTCCCTAATCACCAGGATTGGGTATGTTGGGAGAGCTGGCAAGAAGGAAGCAAAGGTCTAGCTAAGTGTTTGTTTCAAATAAAGAAGGGTGTGTCACATCTTGTATCCCCATCAGTCAACATAAAGGTAGGGGACAGGCACTGGAACGAAGGAACCCTCCCGGCCTGGGTGATCCAGGTAGAAGGCTTCTGAGTTAATTTCATTGCTGTTGCACATACAGTTAAGTCAGGCTTCATGTGTAAGCACAAGCTTGGAGATTTTTATAGTCCGTGTCTAAACCACAGTCTTCAAGACGGTGGTTTAAAGAAGTCACTCTGGTTTCTTAAAATTCATGAAGAATTTCTATGCTTTCTAATTAATAACTGCACAGGTCCTTCTGGGACAGACTTCATAATATTCCAGGCATCAAAGTGCATGAGCCCAACCAGAGGTTTCCCATTAATAGCAAGAATTTCATCTCCAGCTTCTATTATTCCAGCTTGTTCAGCTGCACCACCTGCGAGAATAAACACAGAATAACAGAATAATAGCTTGGCGGTTTCACAGTATTCAAAAATCCTAAGTAAACTAAAAACTTTTAAATGATAAAAATATCTAAATAATATATTCTTGAATAGAGAAATATTTCTTAGAACACGAAAAACATATATCCATAAAAATAAACAGGTCTACATAAAACAATTCAATTCTAGCCCTTTCCCCCACCACCCCCTAAACATAAGCAAGATAAAAATAACGAACTGAGAGGGGGAAGATATTTTCTATGTATTTAATCAACAAATGGTTAATATCCAGACTAAAGAACTACAAGTCAACAAGAACAACACAAAATAAAGTTGGGCAAAGGAAATCAACAGCTGAAATCCATACAGCCAGTAAACACAAAAGCAGGCTCAACTTTTTTTTTTTTCTTTTTTGAGACAGGACCTTACTCTGTCACCCAGGCTGGAGTGCAGTGGTACAGTTTTGGCTCACTGCAGCCTCTGCCTCACTGGGCTCAAGCGATCCTCTCACCTCAGCCTTCAGAGCAGCTGTGACCACAGGCATACACCACCATGCCCAGCTATTTTTTTATATTTTTGGTAGAGATGGGGACTTGCCATGTTGCCCAGGCTGTCAGCTTCTAATTGTTAACAGATACTGACTGATACATGCAAGTTCGGAGAATCAGTGATTATGTGCTCATTAGTGACCATGGGGACTACTTACAGAGTTTAACTTGTTCACATTATAGCTTTGTCTAGCTTTGTATGAGCTCTGGAAAAAATGCAAGTGTAAACCCTCCATTTACGTTCTCACACATAGACTTCTAAAGGTATACCAGCTATGGAGGCATCTTATGGGAAAAAATGGCATTGAAAGAAAAATTCCCAAGTGTGAAAATAAAAATATTCTCAGAAATTTTGATTAGACCTCAAAAGGCTGGGCAGATGTATCGATTTCATCCTAAATTACTGAAGGTCGTTATTGAAATAAATATTATGTCATAAAAATACAGCTTGGAAGAAATCCACCCAAGGACAAGAACATTTTCTGTGGTTAATGATAGAGGCAGTTACATTAAAAGAGAGACCTCACCAGTATCAGCCCTGTAGTGGGCCCCAGGAGAATGATTTGGTCCCTTGTCCTTGCTTTTCCTGAGATACACTTTTGGAAGGACCAAAGAACCAATTATGTTTGTGTTAGCATAGTACCCAGTGTCCTATTCTAGCATATTAAATAAGGCCCTCTGGTTATGTGAAACAAAAGAATTTTGTGTGTTCACTTGGGCCCCAGGACATGGGAGGTTCCAGGCAACCAGAACAGCCTGAGGCACACTGAAGGAGCAATCAGACTGGGTTTGGTCTCAAATCTGTGACTTCAGCCAAGTTACAGATTTCTCTAAACTTCAGTTTTCTCATCTGCAAAATGGTGATGATATCTGTCTTGTTATCTTACTAGGTTGTTAGAAGGACTGAACGAGATGAAGTAGTCTTCTAGGACAGGGGTCCTCAACCCTTGGGCTGCAGAGTGGTGGCAGGAGGGCTGCACAGCAGGTGAGCAGTGGGTGAGTGAGTGAAGCTTCCTCTGTATTTACAGCCTCTCACCACCACTCACATTACCACGTGAGCTCTGCCTCCTGAGATCAGCAGCAGCATTAGACTCTCACGTGAGCGTGAACCCTATTGTGAACTGCGTATGCGAGGGATCTAGGTTGCGTGTTCCTAGGTTGCGTGTTCCTTATGATAATCTAATGCCCTGATGATCTGTCAGTGTCTCCCATCACCCCCAGATGGGATGCCTAGTTGCAAGAAAACAAGCTCAGGGCTCCCACAGATTCTACATGATGGTGAGTTGTATAATTATTTCATTATATATTAAAATGTGATAATAGAAATAAAGTACACAATAAATGTAATGCACCTGAATCATCCCGAAACTATCCCCCACCCAAACCTTCACCGTGGAAAAATTGTCTTCCACAAAACCAGTCCCTGGTGCAAAAAAGCTTGGAGACTGCTCCTTTAGGAAGCTTTCAGTGTTGTACAAAGAAGAGGTTTGCCAGCTTTTGGACTTTTTACACGAGAGAAATAAATTCTCTCGTTTAAACACTGCTATTTTGGATTTCCTATTACATGAGGCCAAACTGAATCTTAACAGATTTGAGCAGGATATGTCACTCTCTCCAGTTACATATAAATTTTTTTAAAATGTCTTTTTTCCCAAAAAGGTCTTGCATGGCTTTTAACACATTCTTAGGTTCCTTACACCTATGATGAATTGGTGTCACACAGTGCACAATCTGCATTTGGCTTTTTTTTCATTCAACACTGTTTTTGAGCTGGTCCCAGTTTATATTATATAGAGATGTAATTTATTTTTTCAACTGCTATTTAGCTTTCCTTTATATGCATATATTTTATCATTCTGCTACAGATAGAAATTTAAATGGTTTCATAGCTTCCATTTTCGTAAGCACTGCTAAAATTTTCCTTAGAGATTAACCAGTAGATACTTGCATGAGAAAAAAAATGAGTGTTTTCCTTTCTCCACATCCTTGCCAACACATCATCGTATGAGATTTTTTATTTTTGGCCAACTTGATAGATTAAAAGAATGATTTATAATATTTCTAATTTTCATCCAATACATTTAAGTTTGAGCATCTTCCTGTGTTTCTTGGCCACCTAGGTTTTAACTTCTGTCAATTTTCTATTGCTTTCTTTACCCAAATTTTCTCTCTTGTATTTTTCTTACTGAATTATATAGTTCTTCATATATTCTGGAATTTTCTTTTTTTTATGGAGACAAGGTCTTCCTCTGTCCCCCAGGCTGGAGTGCTGTGGCACAATCATGGCTCACCACAGCCTCGACCTCCCGGGCTCAAATGATTCTCCCACCTGAGCCTCCCGAGTAGCTGGGACTATAGGTGCGTGCTGCCACACCTGGGTAATTTCTGTATTTTTCTGTAGAGATGGAGTCTCGTCATGTGGCCCAGACTGCTCTTGAACTCCTGGGGTCAAGTGATCTGCCCACCTTGGTCTCCAAAGTGCTGGGATTACAGGTGTGAGCCACGGTACCCTGCCTATTCTGGATATCAACCCTTTGTTTATTAAATATATTGCAAATATCTTATAATAACTTATTTTTGAATATGCTTATAAATTTTGCCATATAACAAACATTTTATATGTTTCTTTTTTTTTTTAGATGGAGTCTTCTCTGACCCCAGGCTGGAGTGTAGTGGTGCGGTCCTAGCTCACTGCAACCTCTGCCTCCTGGGTTCAAGTGACTCCCCTGCCTCAGCCTCCTGAGTAGCTGGGATTAAAGGCATGCGCCACAACGCCCAGCTAACTTTTATGTTTTTAGTAGAGATGGGGTTTCACCATGTTGGCCAGGCTGGTCTCTTAACTCCTGACTTCAGGTGATCCACCCACCTCGGGCTCCCAGAGTGCTGGCATGAAATCCATGATCCATGAGCCACCGTCCTCGGCCCCGTATATTTTTAAAATGTGTTTTTCTCTTATGTTTAAGAAATTCTTCTATGATATTTAAAAATAATGGTTATTACTGATACATAGAAAATTCTATTGATCTCTGCATGTTAATTGTGAATTCATTGTTCTTTGCAAACTATTTATATTGGCTTGACATTTTCTTAGATTTTTTTCAATCAGAAAGAACATATAGGAAGACAATTTGTCATTACGGGCAAATAATATTTCTAATTTTTGTACTTCTTGGCTTATTTATTGCTGAGTTATTTGGTAAAATGATGAAAGAGGAACATTTTGGGAGCGGCTTAAAATTGTACTAGTGACAGTGTACACTGCAGCTTCATATAGGAGCTTAAAAATAACTATTTTCTAATTTTTTTCATAAACTCCCTGACCTTAAAGAAAGCTTTAGAGATACTGACATTTAGTTCCTTTATTATTCAGGCGGGGTTGCGGTGGCTCATGACTGTAAATCACAGCACTTTGGAAGGCTGAGGCGGGTGGATTACTTGAGGCCAGGACTTTGAGACCAGCCTGACCAACATGGTGAAACCTGTCTCTACTAAAAATACAAAAAGTTAGCTGGGTGTGGTGGTGCATGCCTGTAATCCCAGCTGCTTAGGAGGCTGAGGCACGAGACTCACTTGAACCTGGGAGGCAGAGATTGCAGTGAGCAGAGATTGTGGCACTGCACTCCAACCTGGGTGACAGAGCGAGACTCTGTTAAAAACAAAAACAAAAAAAAACTTCCTTATGATTCAAATGCTTGTTCTGTAATAGTCTTACTCAAGAAATCATTCAAATGCTCGTTCTGTAATAGCCTTACTCAAGAAATCAGTATTGCTATATTGTTTTCTAATGCTTGAGCTAAAAGACACAGGAAAACAAAATGAACAGAAAAACTGTACTCATGAAATTACTCTGTAAGTATGAAATACGAGGTAAGAAGATGAATCCTGACCTGAAGTGATTCGCCTGCCATAGCCTCACAAAGTGCTGGGATTATAGGCATGAGCCACCGTGCCCGGCCAGATAATGAAATCTTTAGACTCACTAGTTTCCAAAGGTGGGATCTGCCATATAATATTCAGAAATACTTGAATGGCTTTCCCCAAGAACAAAACCACGGGCTTGCACATGAGAGCATCTAAAGCGCTAGTCTGTGGGACTGACACTTCTCTTCTCTATCCATTTCCACAGCAGTTTTCACGGATTTGGGGCCAGATGCTAGAGACAAAGGCTGAGTTGTCCAGGACGTCATATTCTTGCTTTGCTGGAGACAGAGCAAAGCTAGAGATAAGAGATGGAGACAGATGACAGGATGTCATCTCTCCTGTGGCTTCTTCTAGTGTGGGGTCCCCAAGCCTGGCCTCTCCAGCTGATGTGCTGCTTTAGTTGGTGTCTGCCCTGGTCCTTTGGTTCACAGGCTCACATGCTTTTTTGGGTTGTGTCCCCTTGGATTACAGAGGTGATGTGTCCTGTGACCAAGCATGGAGGCGGCCACTCCTGCTCCCCTCAGGAGTGTCTTAAAATACCTCCACTTTAGCTACCCTATTGAATGACAGGTTAGCTGGGTGCTGTGTTTTCAGGTGATGGACATTTTCCCTCAGTCCTCTGAAGGTGTTGATGGCTCCAGGCATTCATGCGGCCATTCTGATTGTTGTACACAGAGAGCAAACTAGAATTTTCTCTTGGCTTTTTAGATTTTCTTCTTTATATTCTGAAACTTTATTATATCAAGGTTTCAATTTTATTTTATTTTTTTGGAGACAGGTCCTACTCTGTCACCCAGGCTGGAATGCAATGGTGCAATCCTGTTCACTGCAGCCTCCAAGTCGAGGGCTCAAGCGAGCCTTCCTTCTCAGCCTCCCAAGTAGCTGGGATCACAGGTGTGCACCACTCTGCCTGGCTAACAAGGTTTTTTTTGTTTTGTTTTGTTTTTTGTTTTTTTAAATACATTCAGACTGTTTTGCCCTTGATGAGTTTTTCAGTCTGCATAGTCCTGTCATTTTTTCACTTCTGGAAAATTCTTAGTCATGATTTCTGCAAGTATTTCCTCTCATTCAATTTTTTCCTTTTGGAACTCTTTCTCTCATTACCTTTTTGTAATCATCTCTTTATTTCCCTATACTGCATTTTTTAATGGTTTCTTCTGTTCTACTTTTACAAATTCTATCTTCACATGGATTTAGCCTACTTTTTACTTTTATTCATTAATTTAAAGATATATTTAACTCCATTTTCACTAATGAGGGTATATCTGCATTTAGTTTTTACTTTTAAAGAGGCAGGGTATTGCTCTGCTGTTCAGGCTGGTATTGAACTCCTGGGGCTCAAGCAGTCCAAGGAGCTGAGACTACAGGCATGCGCTACCCCGCCCAGCCTGCATTTTGTCTTTTCTTTTTTTTTTTTTTTTTTTACATATTTGCTTGCTTCTTCTGAATACCCTCTTGGTCTTGTTTCATGGGTAACATTCCTGCCTCTGTCATGAATGGGGTGTCCTGTTTTTCGGGTCTGCTGGCAATGGATGTTGCCCTGTACCCTTCGTCTGAGAGCTTTCTGTTGAGAGGGCTCTTATAGCTGAGTTGCCACATGCTTGCCTGAGCCTGGTTCTCCTCCTGCTGCTGCTCTTTCAACTTGGACAATTAACTTAATGAGTCTGAGGTTTTCTCTTTACCCTGGTACCACAGGTTCACACGTAACAGAGACCTGACTCCTGATTTATGCGTGTCTTCTGCTTGCTCCAGGGGCTGGGAGCAGGCAGCCTGTCCTGGCTGCCACTCGAGTAAAGCAGACCTGTTGTGACCACAGTTCACTGGCAAAAGAGCAGGTCCCAGGCCTCTGCATCACAAGATGCCTTGTTCCGCCTGCCCACAGGGGTGCTGAGCACCAGCCTCAGTGCACATTTCTTTCTCATCCTCTGCTTCCTCTGGGCCCCAAGGATGCAGCCCTGCTTACCACAGAGGCTTCATTTCCACTTTTGATCCACAGAGGTTTTTTAAAGCGTAACTATACATTTTTTTAAAGTTTTTTTTCCTATTAACACTACAGGTCAAGAGTTGGGAGAGGCTTTGGGATTACTATACAATTGTAGAAATAGCTCAAGGTCATTAATTAGATGGTCATTTAAAGAAACAACAATCCTTAGCTAAGAAGAATTGATCTTGTTACTTGCTGACCTACTTATTGTGTTACATACTGTAACTTTAAATGGGTTTCTGATCTACTTGTAAGTGTAATTACATATCGATATTGTTCATACAATTATACTGTTAGTATTATTAGTACAATTATGAGTTATTAATATAAGAGTTTGAAAAACTGCCCAAGACCAAAAAATGAATTATTCAAGTTGATGGAGAGATGTATATTTACCAAGCATTTCAATAATATCTACCCCCCATCTTTTTTTTTCCCCACAAAGGCTGTGCTTGGACTGTATTACTTTCTTGCAGTCTAGCATTTACAAGTCTAGCATTTTAAGTCAGTGAGATCTTGGCCACTATTAAGTACTCCTGACTGGCAAGTCTGCTGGTGTTACTTATAGTGTGGTGTGTTCACATCAGAGACAGGGGCCCAGAGTGAGGAATGGCTGCAGTATAAGGGTCAGGGACAGAGGCTCTGGGGCCAGACCGCCTGGGCTGGAGCTTGGTTCTGCCACTTACAGCTGTGTGACCCTACGTGCCTCAGTTTCTCCTTTTGTAAAATGGGGATAATGATGACACTCACCCAATAGGGTTGCCTTGTGGATGGCTCGAGTTAATACGTGTCCATACAGAATAAACCTTGTATGTCACAAAGCATTAAAAACAAAAATTTTAAATTTTTAAACAAAAAAAAGTTTAGATTTTTAAAAACAAATCTCATTTCTAAATGGAAGGCATGTTTTTCATTGAGACATCCATGGAAAGATGACAGCTGAGAGACGGCTGACTGAGTTGTCTAGGACATTACCTTTGTACACTCTCTTAATGACCAAGGGCCCATCTCCCATCACAGATGATTTTCCCCCATCCAGACTCAGTCCCAGCCCAGCCGAGGTCTTCAGCACTTCAACACACAGAGCATCGTGTACAGCCACACTTCTCCCTGCAGCAGCAGCGTGCAGCAAGATAAAAACGACAGAGTTGTTCATCATGCCATCTGTCCAAGTCCCCGCGGACGCATCGCCTCCAGCCCCATGTACTTCTGGCACCCTCAAGTCCCATCTACCCTGAGTACTTATAACAGCACTTGAGCCCAGTAGCACTGTTGGCCTCCCGACTCTGGGGCTGCCCTCCTGGGCTGTGTTGCTGCTCTACTTGCATCCTTTGTTCTGTGTTTTCTGCAAGCATTGGCGAATGCTTTCATGCCCAAGCAGAAATCCCCAGAAGGCAAAGTGCTCTTGTTAAGCCCCCCACACCGGCTGTGCACTTCTCAGTGAGGACTGAAGTCACACTTTGGGACTCCAAATTTGATTTTCTGCCAACCCTGGCTGCTAATGGCAGCAGAACATCACCCTTTGGTACCAAGACTTGGCAGCACCAAAATGCCCAGCCTCATGTGAGACTGTTAGAATGGACTCCAAAGCCCCCAGGAACCCAGAGAGCTTCCTGCCTCCCCGCTCCTGCCACTCCTGCTCCTGCAAAGCGAAACCCTGCCCCTGGCTATGGCTGTCTTCACAGACACATCTGGGGTTGCCTCCACTGGCATCTGGCTCCACTGTGAGGAGATGCGTTTCCATGGTGATGCCAGCTCCGTGCTGGTTTTGGGAAGGTGGGCTGGGTTTGAATCAGGATTGTAAACTTGCCTCCTTGTACTTTCCTCCCTTGCCTATCAGCCAAGGACGTCAGAGTTGACTGCAAAGGCACACTTAGTTGATTGGGAGGCAGAGGAAGGACCACAAGAGATGGACTAAACTGCCTGTTTCCTGTGGTCACTAGGTGTGAAGCCAAGCTAGCACTGTCTCCTTCGGACATAAAGGCCAGTCCACAGTCATGGTTTAAAGAAGGCCACTCCACAGGGCCTGAAGGATGCTGTCAGTGTATGGTAAGTAATAACCGCTTAGGACAAGGTAGACCTGGGTTAGGGAGACTAAAGAACAGGCAACTGAGCGAGGCTAAGCCCTCCAGGCGCACAGCATTTGAGAGCTCTGCAGGTTCTGCTTCAAGGCCAGAGGCCCTGAAGTTGCTGCAGGAATACTGAGTGATTATAAATGACAGAAGGACCGTCCAGTATGAGTTCACCAGGCTTAAAAACTGGCAGCTGTGAGGATGAAGTGGTTTCCTTTGACAGTTTACAAGGATCCCACTGAAAATCCACCAAGCGGTCACGACAGTTCTGGGGCAAAGGCAAGCATGACAAGATCTGATGACCAAGGTGCTTCTCTGCACTGGGGAGGGCCTCAGCCCTCTGGAAGAGGGAAAGTGAAATGACACAGAAGGAAGACCGGGGACATGACCACGGAGGCATCTGGACAAGAAGTGTTTCTCATTTGTTAAATGGAATCGGAGCCATTTTCAGCAAGGACTACAAACAGCTCTGGCCCACAAGAAAGCCAAGTTGTAGAAAGGAATCCAGCTACCCTCATCAGGGAGAGATGTGGAGAAGGAACGAAAGGCCTCTCCCAGAAGGCAATGCCCAACCCATACCCTCTGCTTTGCTCTCTCGACTAAAAAAAGACGTTACCCCTGAATGCCAAGATGAACGGCACTCCAGACGTCCGCAGTACTTAACAGGGCATTAAACAGCCCGCACCGCAGAAACAGACGCTGTACGTGGTTCTGAGGCGCTGAATATGGATGGCACATAGAAAATCTGTTTCTAAACCTCTTCCAGTGAGTTATTCTTGGGTGACTAAGGCTGCAGTTTCTGTTTTCAGACACAAAACACTCTTGCCCCCTCTTTTCCTTCTGTTCTTCTAAACCAGGAAAGAATACAACCTTGCTGTTTCCCAAGGGTAAATCTTAGTTCTGGAATTTCTCCTTCAATGCTGATTGCCCCATCACAGTAGTTTCCTGTTTTCCTTACCAGCCCTAACAAGAGGGTGTGAATATAAAAGAGATTCCTTCTTAGGACACTTAGGGAAACTGTTATGCAGTTGTTTTAAATCTTCCACAGTATAGCCTGAACTACTGGGGTAATTTTTCTAATTTTCTGATTTTTTCTAATTTATTTGTTACATTGCTTTTGTAAGAAGCATCCAAACACACTAGACTTCGCTACATTTAATTTTTCAGATCTAGAAGTTAGCTGTTACTTCCCTCCATGTTCAACCAGAATCTCGGCTTTCTGCAATAGCTCACACCCTGCTGGTGGTTGAAATGATCATCTTACCAACGGCAGGCTCCAGGGGGATGGTCTTTCTGGACAGCAAACCCTTCCCATTGGCTGTGGGAGGCTCCTGCCGGGCAGAGGGCCTGGGCTGATCCATCCCTTTCTTGATGACCACGAGGGCATCTTTGTGCAGCTGTGCCTGGTGCAGAACCTTCAGGACATTCCCGTGGGCTAAGCCAGCCAATGAGGCGCCGTTGACTGACAGAAGGAAATCCCCACGGTTCATAGTCCCTTCCTGAGAAGCCGCCCCCTGAGAAAACACCCTGTGGACCTGGGACGAGGAAAAGAAAAGGAACAAAACCCAGATCCACTTATGATTTCCAGTAAAAGGGAGAAAGTAACTAACTGCATATCTGTAGTAAAGTAACCTTTATTTTTTGAGAGGGAGTCTTGCTCTGTCGCCCAGGCTGGAGTACAGTAGTGCAATCCCGGCCTCCCAGGTTCAAGTGGTTCTCCTGCCTCAGCCTCCTGAGTAGCTGGGATTACAGGCACACACCACTATGCCCGGTTAATTTTTGTACTGTTAGTAGAGATGGGGTTTCACCATGTTGGCCAGGGTGGTTTCGAACTCCTGACCTCAGGTGATCCACCCGCCTCGACCTCCCAAAGTGCTGGGATTACAGGCATGAGCCACTGTGCTGGGTGTTGTAGTAAAGGAACTTTCTAAGGACAATTTTTCTAAATCATATAGTCACTTGCTTTATAAAGAAACATTCAGTGTGGGGGATGGATCACAAATGTCAATGCCAGTGTCTCCACACATTTTTTGTTTTTAACTCAATTTCTTGTTAGTGTCTGACATGGGCCTGGCATCCAGGAGGCAATGGGAATACGAAGATGAATGAGGCCTGGGCTCGTGCGGTGAAGGTGACCCTCTGGATGGTCCCGAAGGCTTTTGAATGATGTAAAATTTTCATTGACTGTTTTTGAGAAAGAAGTAATTGTATAAACAAACACAAGTTTGGCCAGTTGATTCTAATGTTCTCTACTGCTTAAAATATTTAGGTAAATTATAAGGCTATAGCAAATTGTGTTTATAGGGACTGAAAATGGCCTACACATGTCAGCTCTGTGTTAAAAATGCTTGTCTTTGTCAACGAAAACCTTACATACTACTTCTCCCACTTCTCCCTTTTGATGTTAGTAGCTGGGAATGAAACCCAGCAATCTCTGAACCCGCTGATTGGAATCTGTGCCCTGATCACATTCTGAGGCTGCTTAAGGAGGGATTTTGCTGAGAGCCTAATGACTTTGTCACTTACCGTGATTGATTTTGGCTCCACATCTGTCCCTCCTGCCACACTGAATCCCAGACCTGAGCCTTCTTTTCTATTCAAGACTATGAAGCAAACATCTTCTTTATTCTAGTGAAAACAAACAAAAATTATCCTTTGAGCTGGAGCTGCAAAAAATTAAGAAAGAAAGGAAAACATATCTCCTTGTACCAAGAGTAAGGAAGCTCTGATGTCAGTCCTCTTGGAAGGGCTTTTCACTGCAGACCCTAAAGGTTCTTTGGCTCTCAGCCAGGCGTGGTAGCTCATGCCTGTAATCCCAACACTCTGGGAAGCCAAGGTGGGCAGAGGAGTTCTTGAGCCCAGGAGTTCGAGACCAGCCTGGG